TCTCGAATTTTTCCCCCGGTAAAAACTAAAATTCCCCCCAACGAACATAATTTTCTTATTTATCTCTTACAAAAACCAGATATTTTTTTTTTTTCCCAACTGAATTTTGGGTGAAACCTTTTTCCTTTTTAATGTCCCAAATATACTTGGTTATTTATTTGTATTAATTAGAAAAATATTTTATTTTTTTTTTTTTCCCAGCTTATTTTGAAAATTAAATATCGAAAACATCAGCCTCATTATTTTTTTTCGATTCGAAAAAATCACCCATCAAAATATTCAGCTTTTTTTCAGAAACATTTTTTGTAATTTTTTTTTTTCTATTTGCTTGAAATCTTCTAATTTCAGATTTAGTGAAAAAAATATATACAGGGTGACTGGTGCAATTACTATCAATATTTAGGAGAATTTTCACTCGGTACACAAATGATTCCTCATTCGAAATTACGTTAAAAAAAAAAAACAATAGGGTACTTAATTTTTTGACTAAAATTTTCCGTATAAATAAATAAAGTTGGTGGACGAACGTTTGCCAAGTGTTTCCCTAAGGGTGGAAAACGCGTGTGCGGCGGGCGGCCCGTCCCCTTGATACAACACTACGCCCGCCGACCGCGTCTGTGGTGAGTGTGTGTGTATACCTAAATCTGTAGGGTGTGGGGCTTTTTTCCAACACGAATGCGTAATTAATTACACCAACTTTTGGTTAACTTTAACTTTTATGGATAGTTTTTATTTATATGTTTTTTATGTTTTGTTAAGTACGTTTTTTTTTTATTTTGTCCCATTATATAGATCGTCCCCCCCAAATTCACCGTCCCTCCAAATATCGATTAAGTAGTTTTCAAACCCATTCCCCCCTGTCTATTGTTTCCAAGTTTTTACAGTAACCCATTGTTTTTTTTTTGGATAAAAAATAAATAAAAATATATAATAATCTTTTTTTAAAAATGCTCCTTGTCCTAATTTTTGTTTTTTTTATTAGTTGTTATAATTCCCCGGTGGGAAATTTTCCTTCCTTAGATTGTCCCCTCGGTTTAAGGTTAATTTTTTTACACAAATTGAAAACATTTTCAATCTGCCTTAAACTTATTAAAAAATAAAATTGAAAGAAAGCATTGTTCCCCAAACTAATACTCGGGGTGTCCCCCACCCAATTTTTCCCCAATTTAAAGGGACCTGCTTAATTTTTATCCAAAAATTGGGTACTGCAAAGTTAATTAAAAACTTCCCCCTATTTTGTTTTTCTTCAACCATAGGGAACTAATAAGGGATTTTCAACGAACCAGACAAAATACCAAAAATTTTTTTTGAAAATCCGCCTCATTATTTTTTTTGAGGGTGGGGCTTTTTTTCGATTTTTCCGAATGAAATGATGCCCTGATTTTTGTTTTTTTCGATATTTAATTTCAAAAATACGCTGAAAAAATAAAATATTTATCTAAATCAACAGAAAAATAAATCAACAGTGGGGGGGCATTTTTGTAAAAACATCAAAAGAAAAAAGTTTTTTGTTTTCCCAACCAAATTTTTTTCCCGTGACAAAAATAAATTGTTTTTTTTTTTTTTTGTAAGAGATTTTTTAAAATAAGAAAAACCAAAACCCTGTTTTTTTTTTTTTTTTTTTTTTTTTTTTCCCGAAAATTTTTTCGAAACATAAAATTTTCGGAAGTTTACCGTGGGAAAAATGTGTTTTTTTAGTGCAAAAAAATTTTTTAAGATTCTTTTTTTTTTTTTATTAACCCTACACCTTTTTGGCACATTACTTTGTTTTTCCCGTAAAGGACCTTTTTTTTAGTTTATTTTTTTTTTGTTTTTACCCGGAAATCCGAATAAAAACCCCCCATTTTTTTTTTTTACCTTAAAATTAACCTCCATCCCCTTATTACCCTTTCCCCGAAGCTCAGCTCGCCCCGTAAAATTTATTTTTTTTTTTTTCCCCCTTTAATTTTTTTTTTATTATTCCCCCCTCCCTTTTTTTTCTATGGTTTTTTCAAATTTCCTACTATAAATTTAAATTTACTGTTTTTTTTAAAAAAGCTAATCGGCACTGGGGTCCCCCTATTTTTTTCATAAATGATACAAGTTTGAAGTTTTATAATATTTTTAAAGTAATGGTTGGTGTTTTTTTTTTGGTATGATTTTAGGCAATCAAGAAATTATTAGTTTTTTTTTGTTTTAGTAGATTGTTTAGATCAAAAACGAAAATACCAATTTTAATACTTGTAGGAAACAGATTAGGTGGGGTGTAGTAAATTTTTTGAAACATGTTTTTTACTAATAGCGTTTTATTGAAAATCCACATTTGTTTACGCAATGTCCCTTTAATCCTTTTTATAGTACATTTAATCCCTTTTTTAAGAGTCAAGACCTGTCCCTTTTTTTTTTGTTTTTTCAAACTTGTAAACAACCCCACCGTCCCACCCAAACCCAGCTTGTGGGTGGACGCCCCTTCCCCCCAGGATACTCCTCGTGGGGGAGAACACCTAGAGGATGTATCCATCCAACCACCCGTGGGGGGTTGTGTTGTGAGTGTTTGAGAGCTTGGTGGACCTTCCACTGGCCCGTTTTTACCCGTAAATTGATATAGAGTATTTTCCCTTTTTATTATTGTAAATTACTTTTTGTTCCCCCCGTGATAATGGGACCACGCCCCGTCAACGAAACCAACATCCCAAATAAAACAATAATAAAATAACTACCATGTTTTTACCATTATTAATGTTTACCTTATTTGTTTTACAGCAGTTCCCCCAGTAAAAATATTGTAAATTTTGTTGTTTGTTTGGTATTTTTTCCTTTTGTCCCCCATTCCTTTGAAGTGAAAGTGTAATGGTTTTTGTTAAAAAATGTTCCCCTCCTTAATGTTTTTTACGTACGCGCACCAGACCCCGTTTTTTTCAATTTAAGCCCGGGCCAAGGTTCCGGAGGTCCCGGAGATCGGAGGTCAAACACTCCCTAAGCAACTGGAAAAACCCAGCCGCCCGTTGGGGGTTTTTTTTAAGGGTCGATTTTTACATTAACCTAGGCTACATGTTTTTTCATTTCAATTCCCCACTTAACATCCTCAATTCTTCTTAGTTGTAAACCAGGCGTAAGAGCAAATTTCCTTTCAATTGTTTTTCTTAGTGTTGGTTTGTTTTCGCTAAAGATTCACCTATAGAATATTTTCCCTGGGATAAAAAAAATGCCCTCCGCTTATCGGCCTTTGAAAAATTGTTTAAAACGGCCTCAAGAGCGCAATGAAAACCTTTGCTACGAATCGTTTCCTAAGCGTGTTTCCGTGAACGTGCTTCGCGCCCACCTGATCGGTTTTTCATCAAAGCGTTTTCTTGTGGGTTTTTTCTAGCGATTTTTGTTTTTTACCTAAATCCATTTTTAAAAATTATTGGATTTGGGTCCCCTTCCAAGAAAAAAATGTTTTTTAGTAAAATGTATAGAAAGCCCTACCGCTTAACTTTCAGATGTTTTTTTTTTTCCCCTTGGGGAAATCCCGAACCTATTTGAAAACAATTAATACAAAAAATACTCAATAAACCAATAAGATTTAAAATTTGGCGTGGAGTAGCGAAAACAACTTAAATGTACTGTAGAAGAGTTAAAAAAAAAAAGAAATGGAAAATCGCTTTTCCCCTTAGCATCTTTCTTAACGCCCGAGAAAAGGCAAAAAACCAATGGAAAGAAGCCAACAGTCCCAGGTAACGGGTTGCCGGGAAATGTAATATTTATAATTCTAAATTGTTTTTGCCATTTTTACAAGCATGCACTTTTTTGAATGGTTAAAATATAAAACCGAGGAAAACAATTTAATTTTTTCGACAACTAACCAAAATAAAAAAACATGGTTAGGTAATTTTAATGGAAATATTTAAGGTTTGTTATTTTATCTAACGCCTTTTTGTTTAAAAGTTAAGAAAACCTCAAATTTATTTTGTTTTTTGCCCATGGGCAAAAAATATTTTGTGGGAATAATAATTTGGCATGTCCCAAAAAACCACGCCCATGGAAACAAATATTACAATCCATACAAACAAGATCCTTTCGATTGCCATTTTAATTTTTTGTTAAACCCAACCAACGGCCTCTTCTCCCTTTACTTTTTATTTTTTGAAGGTTTTTTTTTAGGGGACAAAACACAATACATTCAAGCACTTGCAAAATAAATGAATTATCGCTTGTCCCCATATTGAGAAACATTAAACGAAAAGGCACTAACCATTCCCCACCCACAAGATTGGAAAAGAAACGAAATGAGTAAAAAAACAATTTCGATCTAAGCAATTCGATTTACACCTAAAAAATTCACGAATGAAATGCTTCCCTTGTTTCCGAGCCTCTAGCGTTCCCCATGTTTTCGTTTTTTGGATGTAAAGCCGGCCCTTTTAACTGGGAACCTCACTCGTAAACCTTAAACAGAACTAAATGGAAAAACGTTTTTCCAGATTTGAACACCCTTTTAATTATTAATTGGGTTCCATTGTGGGGGAGATTGGTGTCCCCCCCAATCGCTTCATATATTTTAGAACGGTCCCCTCGAATTCCCGAATTGTTCAATTGAGAACTTTCGACCCCTTCCGCGGACACTCAACACTGGGGAAAACTTTTCAAATAAGTTTTTTTTTTTTAGACCTTTTACAGAAAAACAAGCGCCCCACGCCTTTTCATTATAGGCTTAATGATGACACGATTTATTAAGTGACACCAAACAAAATTTACAAAAACTCGAAGTAAATTATAAAGTACACCGAGAAAAATACGCCCTAGGCGGCCATGGAGACTCAACTAGAAACATGCCTGAAGACAAAACGAACGAAAATAAAATGACTTGCTCGAACGGAACAGAACCAAGTTAACGAAACCATTAGGGATTTATCCAATAAATATATAAGTGGTGTTTGGAAGACCCGCCCTCCGTGGAAAACGAAAAGAAAATCTGCGGAAGTTTAAATAAGAAATGGTCGCCTATATTGGGGTTATTTACACACAATTAATAACATAACTGGCTAATAACACCGATAACCCAACGCATTTTGTGTTTTGTTTGAAAACCTGGGAAATCTTTTGCTTTTACGACCCCGGAAGCTCCCCACCCTTGTACAAGTTGGGGTGGCTAGCCAGGGGGTTACGTTTTTTTTTTTTTTCAAACGTCCACCCCGCGATCTCGGAGCCCCTTGTTGGGTGCAATGTAGATTTGTTAGTTTCCGATCGTTCAGCCTCATTAACTCCCGGCCAGCTGTACACACCGCAGTCCCCACCCTATTTTTTTTGCAACTCGTAAAAATTTCCCTCGTAAAATCGGTCCCTCCCCACAATGTTTTTTCCTTTTGTCGAAAGCCCCTGGGTGGCGGTGAGGGGTCCCGAGGGCGGAAGTCCGGAGGGGCCAGTGCCCGGCTCCTGATAGTTCCCCCTCGATACCCTTCCCCCGGTATAATCTTGGCGGCGATAATGCGCTCCCCTCCCCCCGACAACAAACAACACAGATACCCTACCACGTAAACCTCGGAGCCGGTTGGAACAATCAATTCACACACTGGGGGAACTGCCCTTCAAGACCGAGAATTGAAGGAATGCAATGAAGTTTTTTGAAATAATAACGAAAAGAGAGACCCGTTAAAAAACAAAGAAACATATGAATTTTTAATGAAATTGAAATAACAACCAATAAACACTTTGGCCAAGTTAAACGGGTGATACAGGAAAAACTTTTTAAAACAAGCCTCCATCATCAGTGTGGGGAAGGTGGACAGCTTCACGAAGCTTTCCTCCCTCCGACACTCAACATTGGACCTAACCTTTTTTTAATGATGAAAAGGGTTTGGATCCGTCCCAAGGTCCGAAACTTCCTTCCAATGAAGGTTTTTTTTTCTTCATACCCACACCCACCATCCGGGCCCAAGGAGCCTCCCTTCAGAATTATTTAATATTCCCAGATAATTATTAAAGTTAATGTGGTAAATAATTTACTTTTTTTTATAAATTTTACATTTTCAATGTTGGGGGTCCCCCGCGGGAAAGAACGGCGTGTTTCCTATATAAATTTCCCCTAAACTTGTTTCTTTCGTCTTATTGTTTGTTTTGGTAATAAAAAATTACTGAACATAAAACAAAGTAATTCCGAAGGCCATTTTAATTTTTCCCGTCCTCCCGGGGGGTGTCGAGCGGAACCCCCGGGCCGAGGGAGGGACCTACGAGGGGCGCCCCCTTGACCCCCACCGAGGCCAAATCAATTAATTGCTAATTTTGCACAGGAACCGAGCCAAATTATAATTATACGACTACTTTTCATATAAATATTTAAAGTTAGTTTTTTTTTAATGAACTGAAACTGAACGAGTAAAACCGCGAACCGAAAATTTAAAAAATTTTTAGTTTTTGAAATTACAAATGAAACAAACCTCACCGTAATACTTGTTTTTATGATTTTTTCCTCTTACTTTTTGAATGTTTTTTTATTCCAATTAATAAGTATTTGTTTTTTTTAACAATCTATCTTCTTGATTAATGTATTATAATTTCGACTCAAATCCCCCCCTTTCAACATGTGTTAACCTGATCTGAGGGTGTGACCTACCTTTACCGCCTAAATATTTTATTGCCCCTTCTACACTTCGGCCGGACGCGTCCCCCCCCCCCCCCTGCCCCCTACGTGTAAAAGAGGGGAAGTGATTTTTTTGCTCCCCGTCCTTGATGTGTAAGGTTAACTTTTTTTTGACGTCGGCCCAAGACTCCGTCCCCGGTTGCGCGGCCCGGTGGCGGTGGGGGGGTGTCCACACGTCCCCCCTGAACCGAAGCCAATCGTGTTTTTTTTTTTTTTTTCCAAAGCTGGAAAGCGAAGTGGGAATACAAGTGCACGCGGTGAATTTTTTTTCGCGTTTTCTTTTTTTTACCTAACCCGGCCGTTTTTTTTTCTTTTTTCTTTGCTTGTTTTTTAAATTGGCAAAACATTGCAAGCAAACGAATATTTGAAACATTTTTAATTGTTTTCTGGAAGCTTGTTACAATCAAGCAGAAAAAACTGCCCCCTGTGGATAAAATCCCCAAAATTAACACCACAAAAAAATATTAAAAGATGTTTTTGTAAGGTAACGACAATTCCCCATTCAGTTGTTAATTTAAACTTAATCCTACATTTACAATTCCAGTTTTTTTGAGTTTTCTGGGTTAATTGGGTTTATTTTCTTAGAATAAGTTAAAAAACAATTTGGGAAATTTTTATTTGCGGGGTCTGCAAATTGTTATTTTTTTAGTCGATTTCAAAAAAAAGCACGGCATTGGAAAAAACGGTCCAAAGTTATAATTAACAGTTTTTTTTTTTTTTTTATGTGAATGGGTAATTTTTTTGTCGGGTTTTCAAACGCGGAACAACACGAAACAAACTGATTGTTTGGACCACCTGTTTTATTTTTTTTTTACATGCCCCCCCCATTAAGTATAACCCACAATTGAGTATAAACTTAACCTTATTTTAATTTTTTTTTTTTTTTTTTTCCAGATTTAATGGATAGTCCATGGAAACCGTAAATTGCTTGATGACGATGGGCAATTCCATTGCAAAAATGAGTTGTTTACAAAAGAAAAAAGATAATCCTTCCTTAGTATCATTGTAGAACGAAGTTTTAAAAAAAGGAAAATGCAAAGCCATTTTCGGTCATGGGCGGGAACAGAGGATTGTTGGGATCACCCAATAATGGGGAAATTTTATTTTTTAACGATGGTTGGATTTGGCCCTGCGTTTTTTTTTTTTTTAACATAATGGTTTTTTACGAGATCCACACGTAAAAGTTAAAAGTAAAGTTAAAAACAATAAAAACCTTCCATTTTATTTTTTTTTGATTAATTTATTTAATTTTTGAGTAGCCCCCAACACCACCATAACATTTTTTTCTTATAGTACTTTAATCCCCCTTTTTAAATTTTATAGTGTTATTTTTAAAATACTACTAAGATTTACTAGGTAAACTTTTTGGAATTTTGACGGGTATTCTTTTTTTTTTTTCTTCGTTTCCGGTTCTCTATATTCCCAATTCTTGCCCGTGGCCCGTTTAAACGATTGTTTTTTTGGCAAAAAAAATCTGAACCGAGAACCAAACCTAGACTGAACCGACCACCCTGGGCGACCGTGGGGTGGGAGGAAACGGCCTCCCAGTCTAGATTTTCATCTGCGGACGTTCCCCCCGGCCCAAGACAACAATCGGTCCTACGTGGTAGAGGAGGCACTTTACGGTTTCAATAATAAATTTATTTTTCGGAGCAAGCATTCGTTTCGACATTTAAAAAAAACACTGATCCTGAGGTGTTTAACTTCTTTGAAGAGTTTTCCCAACAGAACCCATTGTTTTTTTTTATGGAAATATAACTTATTTATTTTTAATTTTTATTTTTTTTTTTTTTTTTGCTTTACCACATACATTTAATATATTATTATACGTTTTTATGCCGAAAGAAAAAAAAAATAATTTTGGTTTTAGCCAGGAATGTGCCACAATCCTCCATAAATAAAGCCTGTTGGCCTAATGTATAACATTTCTTCGCGGCGATTCACTCACCTCTTCTTGAATCACCACTTGACAACTAACTAATTATTTTTTTTTTTTTCTCTACAGACATAATAAAACCCAATACACCTCGTCCTCCAGTTCCCTGTGAGGTGTTTGTTTTTTCCTCCCCCCGGCACAGAAAAAACCTCATTAATTTTTACAGTGCCCCTAGTTTAATAGACTACATGTTATATCAAAAATTTTTTGGGTTTTTAATTTGAATTACCCTTAAAAAATACATTTTAATATTTTAAACCAATGTTCAAACCATTAATCGTAGTCCCGTGGTCCCCCCCCGCCCGTCCACTGTTTGTCTCCGTTTTAACTCCGCCCCCGAAAACATCCCCCGAAACGTTCTTCGCACGGTCCCGCGGGAAACGCCCAGACGGTTCCATTTTTTCCCCGGCGCTCCCAGTCCCGTTGCACCCCGCGCTTCGCGTTTTTAACACACCACGGTGTAAATTTCGTCGGTTTCGTTCCCGGTCGTCGCTGGTGTTTTTTTCTATACCCTTTCCCGTTGTTTGAGATGGTCCCATCCGGTGAATTGTGCGGGACGGTGGTTCCCGGTTTGTGTGCACTACAAATCCAACACTCGGGTCCCCCTTCTAAACGTCACACCTCCCGCCCTTTTTAGATAAATACGGAAATTGTTCCCCTCGAGAAATTTCGGTGTCCGTGGGGGGTTGGGGTTGTAACACTACTTCAAGACACACCTCCTGTTTTAAACATGTTAGATTGAAACCATGGTCGGAGAATTGGAGGTTGACCCAAACGATCCAGATTTCATACAGCTTTTGTTGAAAAAGTCAAGTTAAATACAGGAAACAAGCCCATGCCCCTTGGGTTGTGAAACCCCGGTCGGCGACGACATTGTAACCCCCGCAAAAACGCCAAAAGAGCAGCAAGGTACGACCCCCGCGGGGGGTGTGTGCGACCTCCGCCCGGAGAACCTTCCACATTGGTGGGACAAACAATCGGCCCTGATTAAAGAAGATCTAACAGAAAAACAGAATTTGTTTGCGGGGAAAATGGGCTGAAAAACAACTTAATGGTAAAATGTAGACGAAGGTTTACAACAAAACAAGATGGAAAATTCCGCTTCCTAGCATCTTTTAACCGCCGAGAATGGGCCAAAACAAATGAGATCAAAAAAGGTCCAGGTAGCGGTTGCCGAAATGTAAATATAAATTTTCCCCTTAAAAATGGTTTTTTTTGCATTTTAAAAATCAATGCCCAAACTTTTTTTTGATGGAATAATTTTAAAACCCCGAGGGAAAAACCAATTTTTAATTGTCGACACTAAACAAAATAAAGAACATGGTAATTATTTAATTTATATGAGGTTTTGTAAATGTATTCTACGCCTTTTATAAAAGTAAAAACCATCCATTATTGGTTTTTTTTTTGGCCCCCATGGCACAAAAATAATTTAGTTGATAATATTTTGGCAATGCCAAAAAAAACAACGCCCATGGACAATACATCATTACCAAACAAGAAATCCTTCGATGCCTTAATTTTTTGTAACCCACCAACGTCCTTTCTTCCTTCGTTATTTTATTTGAGTTGAGGTTTTTTTAGGACAAAACCCACTAAATGACAAGCCACTTTTTGCCATAATGATATCCGCGTGTTTCAGAAAGTGGAACCCATAAAACCGAAAGCACTACTTTACCATCCCCCTACCCACAATAAATTGAAGACCGAAATTGGAGTAAAAAAACTTTCCGAATCTAGATCATTCCGATTTTTTAACACTAAAAGAATCACGAAAGAAATGCTCTTGTTCCGAGGCTTCTAATCTTCCAGGTTTCGTTTTTGATGTAAGCACGGCCTTTTTTTACTGAAACCGCCTTCGTTAACATTACCCAGAAACTATTGAAAACCGTTTTGTTTTTTTTCAAAATTGGGAACAAACCTATTTATATTTTTTGTGTCCCCCCCCCCCCCCCCCCCATTGTGGATGTGGCCCCCCAGCGCTTTCAATAATATTTTTTTAGACCGTCCCCCCCCGAAAATTTCCCGACAATTATTCACAATGAAGAAAAACCCCCCCTCGACCTCCGACCTCACCACTTGAATTCCCAAAATAAGGTTTTTTTTTTTTTTTTTAAGACTTTACAGAAAGAAACAGCTCCCCCCCACGGCCTTTTTCATTTATATGCTAAGTGGTGGACACGATATATCATGGTGACCCACAAAACAAAAATAAAAACTCCGAAGTTATTAATAAGGTCACACAATAGAATCCGCCGAGGCCGGGGCCCCCAGGAAATAACTTCCCCCACTTATAACAATTGCTGGAAAGACAAAAACGAACGGAATAAATGGAAACTGAAACTCCGACGGAACCGGAACAATAGCGAAAACATTAAAGGAAATTTAATCCATATATAGAAATTGGTGTTGTTTTGGGAGACACGGCCCCCCCCCCCGCGTGGACGAAAGATCTGCCCGGAAAGTAAAATTAAGAAAATGATCCCATTAATTATTGGTTTTATTACACAACATTTAATTAAATAAATACTTAGTAAACAATAACCAACGCCATTTCGTTTTTTTTTTTTTGAACCTGGGAAATTCTGCCTTACGACCCGGAGGCTCACACCCCTTACAGTGGTGGGGGCTTTAGCATGGTGTAACCTTTTTTTTCAACCCTCGCGAAGCGGAAGCCCCCCTGTTGGTGCAATGTTTAAAATAGGTTTTAATGTAGAAATTCGTTTTTTCCCAAGCTTCATTTTAACGTCACTCCGCCCCGCTCGTTAAACCGGAGTTCCCCCACCTATTTTTTGGCCAACTCGTTACAAGTTGTCCTCCGTAAAACATCGTTCCCCCACCCTTCTCCCCCCAAATGTGTTTTTTTTTTTTTCCTTTGTGCGAAAGGGGCCTTGGTGGCGGGGTCCCCCCGATTGGCGGGAGTGCCGGAGGCCCGGGGAAGTGGCCGGCCCCTCCTGGATAAGTCCCCCTCGATAACCCCTCCCCGGTAATAAATCTGCCGGGCCGATAAGCCCTCCCCCGCCCTCCGACACACAAACCAAACACAGATAACCTTAACCACGTTTAAAACCTCGAGCTGGTGGAACCAATCCTCAACACACTGGACCTGGGCCTTTCAAGACAAAATGGAAGATTTGCCCCAATGATTTTGAAAATATACACGAAAGAAGGAGAACGTTAAACCAAAGAAAAATATAATTTAACTGATATTTTTTAAATTAAAACAATAGAAACAACTTGCCAAGTTATTTTTTACGGGGGAAGGAAACCGTTGTTTTTAACAAATGCCTCATCATCCCATTGGGAAGGGTGCACCAGGTCCCTTTCAAACGGAGCTTCCCTCCGCGACACTCCAACGATTGAACCCTAATAACCTTGTTTCATGGAATGATTTTTTTGATTCGTCCCCCCAAGGTCCCGAACTCCCTTTCATTGAAAGTTTTTTCCTTCAATAAACAAACACACAACGGGCCCCCGAAGGATGCTCCTTTCAGAATAATTATATTTCAGATATTATAATATTGTATGTGTCTAAATTACTTTTGATATTAATTTTTTTTTAAAATGTTGTCCGCAACGAAGGAAACGGCGGTGTCCCTTATAATTTTTTTCCCCTAAACTGTTTTTCTCGGCCCCCTAATTGGTTTTTTTTTTTTGGTATTAAAAAATTGACTGGAACAAATAACCAAAGTATTCGAAAGAGCATTTTAATTTTGTCCGTCCCCCCCCCCCGGGGGTGCGAGCGGGACCCCTGGGCCCGGGATAGGGACCCGAGGGGCCCCGGGCCCCCTTTTTAAACCCCAAAACTGAGTTAAAACCAAGTCACCAATTTAGATTCCCCTTTTTCACAGGAACCCGAGGGCCAGAAATAAAATAACGACTTACTTCCATAATATATTGAAGTAGTTTTTATTTGACCTGACTGACGAAGTAAACGACGAACGAATTAAAAATTTTTAGTTTTTTAAAATAACAAATGAACGTACCTCACCAGTTAAAAACTTTTTTATTTTTTTTCCCCCCTTCTCTTACTTTTTTTGAAAGTTGGGTTTTAATTCATTATAAGTTAATGTTTTTGTTAACAATCCTGAATCCTTCTATATGTATATTTAAAATTTTCGACTAACCATCTTTCCAAACATTTTTAACCTGAGAAGCTGAGTGTGGGGGTTGTTTTTTTACTACTTACTCCTAAAATTAATTTAAATGCCTCCCACCCTCTACAAAGTTTCCGGGCGGACGCCGGTCCCGCCCTACGGTTGTTAGATGGAAGTTGGAATTTTTGCTTCCCGTCCCCTGTGGTATGTATTTTTTTTGAAACCGTACCGGCCAGAAAACCGCGTCCCGGCGCGAGGGCCGTGTGCGGTGGTTGTCCCACACCGTTCTGACCGTACGGCTCCAATCATTTTTCGCCGCGGGAAAAGCGAGTTGGGAAGAGTGGCAACGGCGGTGATTTTTTCCGTTTTCGCCGTTCGTTTTTTTTTTTTTATACCGACCGCAGCTTTTTTTTCCTTTTGCTTGTTTTGAAATGTGCAAAACTGGACCAACAGAATTGAACATTTTAAATTTTTCTGGGAGCTTTGTAAATCCAAAAGGCAGAAATACCATTCCTGTGGGAATAACAAAAACTTCAAACACCACACCGACACACAAAATAATAACAATGGTTTTTAATAAACACAATTTCCATTCCATTTTTATTTTTTAAAACTGCCCCTTATTTACAAAATTTCAAGTTTTTTGAGTTTTTTTTTTAACTTGTTCAATTTGGGTTTTTATTAGATATTTAACCATTGTTTTGGAATTTATGGACGGGTTAGGCCCCCCCACGTTTGTTTTTTTTTTTTTTATTTTTTAAAGTTTCGAATTTAAAGCCCCGCATTGGGAAAACACTGGTCCAAGTTTATAAATAATAACAGGTTTTTTTATATGTTTGAAAAATGTGGTTTTTAAATTTTGAGTCGGGTTTTTTTTTTTTTAACGCGACACCCAACACGCCAAACTTTCTTTTTTGAGACCCACCTTGTTTTTTTTATTATGCCCCATTGTATATAACCCCAATGCATTTAATAAACCTTTACCTTTTGTTTATTTTAATTTGTTTTTCAGATTAATGATTCCATGGAAAATCTATTTGCTGATACGATTGGCCAATTTTTCCAGTGCCATGAAGTTTTTAAAAAGAAAAAAAGATTAATCTTCCTTTAAGTACAATTTAGGAACGAATATTAACAAAAAAAGAATTGCCAAAATCCCCTGTTTCCGGTCCAGGGGCGGGGAACCAGAGGTGTTGTTTATCAGCCCCATATGGATATTTTACCGATTGGTGAAATTGCCTGGCGTTTTTTAAACAATGTTTTATTAAACGACAAATCCACACGTTAAAGTGAAAAGTAAAGTAAAAAATAAAACATTCCCTTTTATTTTTTGGATTAATTTTTTTAAATTTTATTTTGAGTTAGCCCCAACCCAACCTACATTTTTCTAATATTACTTTTTTATCTTAAATTTATAGTTTTATTTTTTAGAATACTTTTAAACCTCAGATTTACTAGGTACGTTTGTTTTTGAATGAAGGTTTATTCCTCGTTAACCCGGTTCCCCCCCTCTAATATCCATTCTTTGGCCCCGTGAGCGTTTAGCGTGTTTGCATCCCTGGAAAACCGAAAAGACCCACCATAGACCCTGAACGTACCCTGTCCCGACCCGTGGTTGGACGGCCTTCGTCAGAGGGGGGGGTGTGGGGGGTGGTGGGGGGATTCATCTGCGGACGTCTGGCCAAAAAGACAATCTGTTCCATACGTTGTACGAGGAAGGCCAAATTTTTTAAGGGCTAATATATTTTAATTGTCGAGCACAATCTTTCGACATTTTACACCTGATCCTGAAGGTGTTACGCCTTGAAGAGGTTTTTTTCCCAAAAAACCAATTGTTTTTTTTTTTATGAATATTAACATTTATTTTTATTTAAATTTTTATTTTTATTTTTGCTACTACCACATAACATTTAGAATTATATTATAACAGTTTTTTTTTTTTTATTGCGAAGAAAAAAAAAAAATGAAAGTTTTGGTTAGCAAGGAGTCCCATCCTCCAAGTAAATAAAGTTGGTGCCTAAGTTTAATAACATTTAATGCCCTCCCCGGCGATTCCAATCAAGCCTTTGTCACTCCCGGAACACTACTTAATTTAATTTTTTGTTTTGTTTTTCCTCTACAAATAAATAAACGAAAAATAAACCTCCGCCCCCTCAAAATCTTGTGGGTGAGGTGTTGTGACCCCCCTCCGGAACAGAACCTCCATTTATTTAATATTAGGCCCCCCCCCTAGTTTTTTATAGACCTACTTGTTTTTTTTATATCAATATTGTTTAATTGAATAACATTTAAAATAACATTTTTTATATTTAAACAATTGTTCAACATTTATCCGTAGTCCCCCCCCCGTTTCCCCGCCCCCGTCCGCACCTGTTTTTTGTCTCCCGTTTAACTCCTCCCCCGAACACCCCCCGAGACGTTCTCGAAAACGTCCCCCCGCGGAACGCCCGCGTTCCAGTTTTTTCCCCCCCGCTCCTCAGTCCATCCCCGGTTGACCGCGCCCCTCGCGTTTTTAACACCAACCGTGAAAAATCGTCCCCGTTTTCGTTGTCGCTCTGGTTTTTTTTTATAAACCCTCCCCGTGGTTGAGAGAGGTGTCGCCCGGTTGAAAAATGTTGGCGGGGACGGTGGGGTTCCCGTGTGAACGGACATCCACAACTCGGTACGTCCCCTAACACTTCCGGCCCTTTAGATTTAATACTAATGTTTTTCTAGAGAAATTCGGTGCCGTTGTTTGGTACACTACGTAAAAGAACTCCCCCCTGGGGTTTTTTTTAACCTGTAGAACAATGGAACATGTTCCGGAAGATGGGAATTTGGGCCACAACGATCCAGATTTCCCCATACATCTTGTGAAGGCAGTAAACAAGAAACAAGCCCCCCCATGCTGGTTGGGACCCCGGCGCACACGAACCCCAATTGTAAACCGCCAAACTCATAGCATCACGGTAGGAGACGCCCGTGGGGGGTTGCTAGACCCCCCCTCCGCGGGGGAGGTACCTTCCAGTGTGTGAACAGTATCCGGGGCGCACCCTGAAAAAGGAAGAAAGAATTCAAACTCGAGTTGTCCCTTCGCGTCCCCACCGTAAGGGAAGGGAATGCCCCATGGTTGCGGGCGCCGGGTGGCCCCCCCGGCCACGGTTCCCACAACTGGTTTTTTCCCTCTAAACAAACCCGACAAAGTGAGCGTTTCCTGCCCCTTCCAACACGATCCCCCCCCCCCTAACGAACGACAGCGGGTGGGGAAGGCCTGGTCGCCGGTCCCAGAAAACATACAAAACAATATCAGATACTTGTAATAATTATAAAATGGTGGGGTGGGGGTTTTTTACAGAGGACAGTACAAGCACAGACACGTACAGTAAGCCCGCTTTGAAAAAAGCCTGAAAAAGCTTTCCAAATCCAAACGGGGAAATTCTTTTTACAACAACTAGAACGCGGGAAACTTGACCCTCTTCAAATGGTGGTGACCACTACACGGGACGGTTGGGGACGTACATTTATATACATATTTTGTTTATTATTATACCTCTCATTCAACCAAAAAATAATATTAGAAGAGTATTACTAGGAAAACTTGTTCCCCACTTACAAACTAAGGGTTATTTTTTAAAAAATATATTAACTTTTAAACCTCAAAATTTTTCTCTTTGAGAGCTCAGGCCCAGCGTGGTTCCACCCCCTCCAGGGTTACCCTCCCCGGAATATATTTTTTTTCAAAGTTACCTATTAACTTTCCCCTTCCCCTCAAGGCCCTAGCATCCTAGCACCTATCGGCTTTACCAGTAAAGAAACACCCTCTTAGCGTGTGGGGGACAACTAATGGAAGCGGAAAATTTGCCAACACAGATACGCAACATACACACACACTAAATTTTTTTTTATTAACATATATAAACATATTAACATTATTTTTTTTTAAAAATATGTCAACCCACAAAACCCAAAATTAAATAAATAATTTAATTTTAATACACAAAAAAGATAAACATACATATTAATTATTTTTTTTAATTTTTATTATTTCCCGTATTCAACATTGATTTTGTTTTTTTTCATTTTCCAGAAGAGAAAGAACCTAGAACAAAGAGGCGAGAGATAGAAACGAAAAAAAAACTACAAGAAGAAGAATACGAATCTCAGGAGGAGGAACTCGCTTCCCCCAATACATATATAGTTAGTTTTTTAAGATGAAGACCAGACGGTGGGAAAAGAAACTCCGCAGGAAGACGAGGCCAGAGTAGAGACCGAGGTTTAACGGAGACCTGGGTGAAGGAAGAGGGTAAGCCACCAAGGAATGATGAGAAAGGTTAAATCAAAGCTTCCTACCGACGGAGAAGTGATTCAAGAGGGCCCGAGTAAACAAGAAAGGACTAGTGGGGTGACCAGCTTCAGGGGAGTAAAAAAAAACATCGCCCTCCTTCCGCTTGAAGGAGAACACGAACGAAAGGGACCAGGGTCCACCATGGTATCAAACAGGCCCATCAACAACATATACTGTTTTTTTTCGAACAGGAGTTGAAACGAAAAGTAACAGCGGACCGGGAAGGCCAAAAGTTACGTGCTGCTTGTCCCACCCCCCCAGAAGGGATAGAGGAACTCCAACCCCGCTCTGGATGATGGGCGAATTGGATATCACCGGAGACAAAAGTAGAGGATGAGCTTGTTGGGGGTGATGTACAGGGACCGACTGATAAACGCATTTGTTGTTGGTCTTTTGAAGGTTTTTTTTTTACTTTTTTAATAAATTTACTGGTTTATTTAAGATTATTTAAAACCTATCAAGTTTGTTCTCTCTCCTCCTTCATTAATCCTGGTGTTTTGTCCTCGAGCCAGTGGTGTTTTGCTTGCCGTTGGGTTTCCCATCTAAAGCCTAAGCTTGAACTGTCACCTAATAATAATCCGTTACGAATTAAAGTCCCGCACTACGCTACGTAATTTGTATTAATAATGGTATCGCGGCCACGACCAGAGGGGGTTTTTTTAAACAGTTAATTGGTAAACAGAAAATAACTAGTAAACACCGAGGACCCCCTCCACATCATACATATATGTACATATGGGTAAAAAAAAAAAGATAATTTTGTTACCTGTAACTTGATATAAACCTACACTAGGGAATGAGAATATTTATACAAAACCGCGGCGACGGAACCCGAAGCTCTAAACATCTAAAAAATATTATATTAGGTTTTAATAAAAAAACCTTTTTTTTATCTTCAAGTTCCCCCCTTCCCCTCCTGTATGATCAGTAAACAATAGTTCAGCTCCCAGGTGTTGTGACTTCCCCTCTCTCCTTACTCTCCCCTCCTTCTCCCTCTCTTCTTCTCCCCCCCTCTCCTCTGTTGTTTTAATCAACTAAACGTGTCACCCCCCCCACCCTGTTTAAATCAGCGCCCTCCATCCCAGAACTCAGACTCGTCCAACCCGTCCGCCGTGTTGCCCCCGCTCGCCTTTCTTTCCCTCTCAATGAACCCTTTCCTATTCTTATAAACAATTAACAGTCCTCTTTTTTCCGTGGTATGATCGTTTTATCTTTGTTTGACAGTTTTTTTTTGTTTTTCTTTTTTTGTAATCACTTGTCCCGCTCATTTTGGCCTGGCGACTATATCGACTTAGTCCGCCAAGCACCTCCCGTGGCGGTCCTATGTCGGTCCCCCTTATTTCTTAAATGTAATAAAGGTCCACTTTTTTTTCGTTTGTTTTGTGCTGTAATGGTAGGTTGTGTAAGTGGTGGTGGAGCTCCCCCCTCGGTGAAACGTCAACCGTTTTTTTTTTGTTTTGTTTTTTAATTGGCCAGTGTTAACCGATCGCCATTATAAAATAATAATCAGGTTTTTTTTTCTGATTTACAATAAATAAAATACAATTAACCTGTGGGCAAGCCCCCCCCCTCAGACTAGCTCACTCTATACTACACCGGTACTGTAACAGTACCAGACCGAATACTTGTCCCAATTGTCCCCTTATATATTATACCGAGGAGACCCCCCTCAACTATGTGGACGATGATTAGATTTTTCTTTACTAACCTTTAAATTACAAGAGAAATGAGAAAAACCACACAATAGTTAACATCAACCGAGGCGTTTTTTTTTCCTGCAGGACTGGCCTACTGTCCCAGAAATCCCATTTAAAATAATCAAATGTTTATTCCTTCCTTCAATAATAATACAATAGAAACTTGTAAAATATAGCGGTTTTTTCCAATCCGTTATTTGGGTGACAATTTTTTCCACCTTTTTACGTAAAAGATAAACTGGTAAATAATAAAATTCCGATGAAGTTTTTATATTTTTTCAAGTGGGAAATAAAATATAAATTATGATGACCCCTTTATCCCTAAGTGGGGGGGGCCCTCCAATCATTTTTTTCACCGACTCAGATTACTTTTTATTATCATCCTGATACCGAGGCGGTCCCAACATAGAACACATAACAGTCGGATTCTAACACGTAAACTCGTATGGTTTGGGTTTAGTCCCATTGGGAGTCACCAAAGGAACCCGAACGAATTTCCCCCCTAAGAATTTTCCTTTTCATCCACATAAAAATAAATATTCACTTTTTTTTTTTTTTTATAATCAGGTTTTTTTAATATATTCCCTTTTTGAGCATGCGTCCCCTGGTTCTGTGGTGGTGTAAATATAAATGTAGGTTACATATAAACACCCACACACGCCCAAACAGTCCCCCCCCCATCCGGTTATCCTCTGGGCCCTCCCTTTGAACCCCCAACCAAGCCTTGAAATAATTAAATTAACCTTCGTTGTGTGGGGGTTGAAACAACTGGTCCCCCCCAGATTTTTGGGCAATGGCCCCCGGGGCCGGCAACGGGTACCACACGGGCCCCCACCAGCCTTCAGGTAAAACGGTGTGGTAAGACCTTGGGAAAACACACACGGAAAAAATGTGGGGAAAACAAATGGATTAAATTATTTTCCTGGGGGGGGTGGAACAACAAAATTTAACAACCACCCACGTTAAACACAGGCAAAAAAGTTAGGGAAAGAAAACAACCTGGGTAAGTTTAAGGAAAATTTGAAACCTGGACTGGGGACACCTTGGATTGTTATACTATAATTAGTAAACAAAAAAAACTGTTTTTAAGGGTTCACCCCGTTTTACTTTTATGAAAGCCCTGGCCCCCGTCCACCTTTTGTCCCCCCCCGTGGTGGTGGGTCCCCAACCAGTTCCCCAACCCCTGTTCCCAAGTTCGTTTTCCCCCTTGTTGCCCCCCCCCCCCCGCCAAGGGTAGCGGAGGGCGCCCCCCCCAACTTTTCCCATTAGGATCCCAGCTAGCCCCTCAATCTTCCCCCCCATCCTCTTGGTTTTGTTTTCCCCCCTCCTCCTTTAAAGTTCCCCCCCCTATTTGTTTCCCGGGGGGGCAATCACCTCATCCCCCTTCCCCCCCCCATGCCCTCCCCCAAAGTTGTTAACCCAAGAAGGACACCCCCTCACACTGAAAAACTTCCGTTTTTTTTCAAGTCCCCCATCCCAATAAATTTTTTCCTTCGGCTGGTTTTTACATTTCCCCCCTCTTGTTTTGGAACACACACCGCCGGGTTTTTTTTTTTCCGGTTTTTTTTTGGTCCGAAAACGATCCCTAAAAAGGTTTTTTTTTTTATTTGGGTTTTTTTTGGTTTTATTTTTTGCGAATGTCCCCCCTACAAAATTTTCCTAGTAACAATTTTGCTGCTTGGAAGGTTTTAGATTTGTTTACATAAGTTTAAAGAACAGCCCGCGGGGGGCTCCCGGTTTGGGGTATAATATAACTGGTTTAGGAATTTTACTTTGTAAAAATTACATAGAATAGAATGGGGTCGGAGTAGCCCTGTAAGGCCAAATGGCCAGTTTTCCCCCACCCCACGTCTAGAAACCTCCACCTGAAAGCCCCTGGGGGGGCAAAATGGGGGGGTGTACGGGCCCCCTGAAACCTCCAGCCGCTCAGCGAAGTCCAAATACACCTTTTTTAATTATAAAAAACTAAGGGTTTAAAAAATATATTATTGTGGCAATTTTACAGCAACAATTCGTTGGGGAAAGAAAAAAACGAAAATGGCCGGGGGCCCCTGAGTGGTGTACCGAGTTCCGAAGTAACACATGGAAAAATGTTTTAAAAAATAAAACCACTGGGGAACGACATTCCCAAATTTTAACTGAACCCATTCAATAATTGGGAGAATAAGAAGCTGGGTGGAGGTGGACCCTCAACGGGCGTGTGGGGAGGTAATAACCCTATCTTTTTTAATGGGCCTTTTCGAATAAAAAAACTTTTTACACAAATTTGATTACATTATAATGGTATTGTTTCAACGCCCAGGGCACCCCCCCCACACGAAACCAATCCCTTCCCCAAACACAACCTCCGGGGTGGGGCCTTGGTCCCCCACCCCGTTCACGTTAAAAATCCAAGTGGGTTTGGGAAGACCCTGTTTTTTTTTTGTTTTTTTACTATTTTCCCCCAACATTTTTAGTAATACACAAGTTTCCATTTTAAGATTAAGAGTTCCCCAAAGGTGGGTTCGGCCAAAGAAAACCACACGTTTTTTTTTTTCCCGGGGTTTTTCCCCTGGGTTCCCCCCCCAAAGAGTCCGTTTTTCCAATTGCCGAAGTTTTTTATCCCAGCCCATTTTTATGGAAAAATGTACAACAAATGGCACCGGTCCCGAGGGTCTCTCAGGGGGGGGAGAAAGTCCCCCCCCCCCGTAAGCCCGTTGGGTGAGCCCTGAGGTTTCCCCCCCCCCTCCCCCGCCTGTGACCCCTCCCGCCTCGTCTTCATCACGGGCCACGAACCTGGCCCCCTCTACAATAGGTTTTCCTGGGGTGTTTTTTTTGGCTTCCTCAAGTCCCAAGTATCCCATGGTGGGGGGTACCTAACGGCACTTGGAAAACCAACGGGTCCCCCCCCCACTTTGCACACTTCCAACACAACGGTTGTCCACCCCCGAAACCACGGGGGCGCAGCCGGCCCCCCCCGATTCCAAACATCCTTAATAGAACTGTTTTTTTTTTAAAAAATTAAAAGTCAAATTTTTCAACAACCTTGTGTTTTTTTTTTTGGTAATTTTCCAATGAAAATTTTAATTAAAAGTGATTTTGAAAATAATAAAAATAATTACAATCCAGTTAATAAATTTTTAAACCATTGAAAAAAACGAAAACCAATTTTATATTTAAAGGATAAAAAGATTTTCCCATATAGAGAAAAGGGAAATCCCCTTCACAGTAAATAATAGAAAAATTAGATTTTTTTTTAAAAAAAAGTGGTCCCCTCATGGGTTAAACTGGAACCTTTTAATTTTTTGTTAAATCAGCTTAAATTAGAGGGAAAATCATTTGTTAACTAATTTTTCACATATATTAGTTTTTTAACATGTTTAATCAATCCACTAATCAATATCGTGGGGGTGACAGGGGGCAAAGTTTCCTTGGCCTGTTTAATTCCCTGCCCTTTGTGGGGTCCCCCCGGGCCTGTTTTCCCCCCACACCCCTGTCCACAGCTGGGGGACCCTGTTTTCCAACTCGTTTTTTTTTGTTCCTGATGACTTCCAATGAGTTTTTGTTAGATCCCGAAAATTTAAAATTAATTAGCCCGACCCTACACCCTTTACTAATCCAAAAAATATTCTGTAATATTGTTCAGCCCCCCTGGTTGTTTCCATTTCCGCCTAGGTGTGGTACCTGGTGGACGGGGTGAATGTCCCGGTTTTTTATAGATATACTTATTGAATTGCCAGATAAAAAACTTGGTTTTTGGTAAAGTCAAAAACCCCCCCCCCCCCCCCCCTGGGGTAATTTTTTTTTCCCCACAGCCTCCGCCCACCCGCCTTCCGCCTTGGTTGGCCCCGGGCCCCCCCCCAGTCCCACCTTGGTTGTGTGGTTTATCAGTGATGGTTGATTAAATAACACAGCCTTTTTGGTAAACGTGGAACAACCCCACCCTTTTACTTTAATGTCCCCCCCTGGGGGAGAAGGCTGTCCCCCCCCGCAACCAGGGAACAACTCCCCCCCAAGGACCACTAACCAGAATACATATAATTTTATTATTATGTACTCTTGGGTTTCCCCTCCATTTCCCTGGGCCCCTCCCCATAGTTGTTTTTAAGCCATTTTTTTTAATGGTAACCAAACCAACCTGTTTTGTTAAGGAATTGCCTAATCCAAATCCCTATGGACCCAATAAGGTACCATTACTTACTATTAATTAATTTGTTAAGATATAATGAAAAAGGTTGCCAACTTTCGGTCCCCCTGGGAATGGTAAAAACTCTTGGTTTTTTTTTAACAACTTACAAGTTAACTTACAATCATTATATTTTTGTTCCAGTAGGGTATAAAGGTGGGGGGTGGATTTGGTAGGTTTAAAACGTTTGTTAACACCAAACGACCCGAACCACCTTTGGTTTTTTACCCCTTTTTTTATTGTAAACGAAAAAAATCGTTGTTTTTTTTTTTATTTTCCCAAAGTCTTTTTAGAGGTTCCCTTTTATCCAAACAAATATCTTTTTTTGGTTGAATTTTCCACGGTTTCTTCAAATATACTTAAACTATTATTAAAGTATTATAATAATTAAACGTTTTTTTTGATTTTTAATTTGCCAAAGGTAAAGTAAAATGGTTTTTTTTTTTTTTTTTTTATAGTTAACCTTAATGAGGAAAAATGTTTTTTTTATTGTTTTTTTGCCCAATTTCGGAACTAGAATTTTCGAGGTAAAATCATAATTACATTAATATATTAAATCTGAATTTTTAAATAAAAAGTAGCATGAAAATCCACGATTACTCCACCTTTCCTGAACCAACCCCCCACATGCCCCTAACATTTTCCATTCCTCCAACGTTTTTTTTTGGAACCCTGTCCCAGTTCACAACGTCCCTGGTTTGGTTTTACATCCCTCCACCCCATCGGGGTACCCTTTCATCAAGGTAAATTTAAGGATGAAACTCCCCCAACAAAACCCTTTATCTTTCCATTCCATCCATCGTTATTTTTTGTGAAACCCCGGCACCCCCCCCTCCAAATGGAATATAAAGACCCCCACCAGTTGTAAATTTAGTAATAATTAAAAACACCAACCAAGTCCCCCCCTTTTGAAAAGGTCTTTTTGTGACATACACGGAAAAAATTCCCTATTTTTACATTTTTTGGTTTTTTTTTTATCAATACAAACGGAAATTAAATGAATACCTTGTATGAATGAGGTTAAGGATTTTCCCGGGGAATTTATTCCCCAACTTTTAACTGACTAAAAATCATGGACCGAAAATTTTACTAAAACCCAAAAATAAATTGAACCACAAATTTTTTTTTTACATAAATGAGGTTTTTTTTTTAACATTTTAATTCATACCCTAATCATGGGGGTAGATTGTGGGTTTTTTGGATTTGTACTTTTTTAAATAATTATCCAGTTTATCCCTAGTTAACAAAGGTAAACAACTTTTCAAAATTGTGTTGTTTTTTTTTTTTTTTTAAATTAAATTTTTTTGTGGCCTGGTCCCTTGTTTCCCTGTTTGTATTTACGGATTTTAAATAATCTAAGATAGTTTTTTTTTTTTTTTTTTTAAACTCCCAAGTTAAAAGATAATAATCATAATGTTTAATAACCTAGGCCCTATTTCCCGTTAATAGTTCCGCCGACAAAAAAGTCCCACTTTTCAAAAAAAAAAATGGGAAAGAAATGTTTTCAAGGGTTCCACCAACACGAAAACGTGAATTTGAATCGATTCTTTCCCCTACAAATTTCCAAAAATTTGAAACCTGGAAAAAAAAAAGGAAGAAATTTTCCCCTTGTTCAAAGTGGGGTTTTTTTTTTCACATAAACGCCGAGGTACCAACGCCAAAGGCCCAACCGACAAAAGGTAATTATAAGTGGAACCTAATTAATAATTTTATAAATATAACAATTAAATCCCCATCACAAGTCCAATCCGCGTCCATTTTTTTTGTGGGAAACAATTTTGTTTTTTTTTTTTTTTGGTGAACTCCGTACCATCTGGCCCCTGTCCCAGAAATTTAATGACTTGTATGTATGAGGTAATTGATAAAATATATTTTTCTAATAAACTATGTTTATTAAAAGTTAATTTTTTAATATAGTTAGAATTTAATAATGTTTTTTTTTCAATTCCATCCTTTTTTCCGTTTCTACCATAAAACAGTGGGATTTCCAGCTGTGTTAAGCAGGATTTTGTGTTGTGTAATCTATCGGCCGGTCATGTCGGGACGTGTTCAGACCTGACAATACTTCACTCACTCATCAATAGTGAGAACAGATGAGTGAGTAAGTTAGTTCACTACAGAATCAGAGTTACTATATCTATTCATTGTAATTATATTATTATATGTATAAGAAACTGTGATATTTATCTGACCCTCGAAATGATAGTTTTCTTTTCAAGTAAAATTCGTCATTTTAAATCAAGTCCAGTTAAACATCAAATCTTTATGTTTTAGACTGGTCTCTATATATATTTGATTAAAGTCGTATTAGACCAGTGCTGATAGCTTTTAAAACATTATTAAATTATAGTAGAATGAAACTCATTAGAAAAGGAGGGGAATATTATAAAAATTAAAGAAAAAATAATTTACGGGCGATCTGAGCTCGGGAAGGGTATGGGGATGGGTATTTAGGGGTAAAAAATGGGTTTTCTCGATTTCCGACAAAACTAAAAGTGTTACGGAAAAATATTATATGGCAAAATTGTAGGTAACAAAAGATCTAAAACTTTTGTGCTTACATTTTTTTCACATAACCTAAAAATTTATGTCAAAATTGAGAAAAACCAAGTTTTTGGTTTTTTATTTTTATCTCTTACAAAAAACAATTTTTTGTTACGAAATTTGGTGAAAACTTTCTTTTTGATGTTACAAATACACTGTAATTTATTTGATAAGAAATATTATTTTTTTCCAGCTTATTTTGAATAAATATCGAAAAATCAGCCTCAGTTCATCACTACTCAGTAAGCTCGATGGTTTTCACATTTCATATTTTATTATAATTAATAAATTTTCAATATAACTGACAACTTCAATGTATAACATTTCCATTTGTTATATATTAATATAGTCACGCGTGTACATATAATAACATATAACTCAGTCATCATTAAAGACATGTTCTCTGTAACGTTCGTTTCAGCTGTGTCACGTCCCGAGCCGCTTAGCAACAGTCGCTGGTGACGTCACCAACAGCCTTTTGACACCACAACACACACACACCACACACACACAACACACCAACACACACACCACACAAGCTGGCAAGCTAGGAACTAGTTTTTTTTTTTTTTCGCGAGACCCGTGGGTCCCTTTTTGTTTTTTTTTTATTATAATAAACGCAACCTATGAAAAACCATTCTCTTTATGAGTACCTTTTAAATGACGTCCCATCATGTTAATTCCTGAAATTAACGTGTGGATTGGGATTCCTCCCTCCCAAAGTAAATCATTTCCTCTTATTCCTCCAGTTTTTTTTTTTTTTTTCCTTAGTGGAAGTTCCCCCCTCTCTCGTAAAGTAACCGAAAATAAGATCTTAATCTCAAACCAACCATGAAAACTAAAAGGAAAGTGGGGTAAAAAATTTCGCTTTGGACCCCTTTGAAAAATTTTTGGGGGTGGTTTCCATAAAATAAATTAATCTACATACCGAAAAGTGGATTAGTGGGTGAAACAGTCATTTTTTTTTTTAGTATACCTTGTTACATTAGGTATCGAGAACGTGTTTTTTTTTTTCATTAAGGAAACGTCCCCCCCCCCTGGTCCCCCCCCCCTACACAACCTTTGTAATTTTTGTGTACATATAACTACTATATTGGCATAGAGTCCCCCCAAGACCTCTCCCCCTTACCACTTCTACAATGAGGGTTTTGTTGGTGCAGGGAGTGGTGGGCTGAAGAGGAAAACCATCTCATCAGAGTCCCCCCCAAAGCCCTTAACTTCGTTTTAGATCAAGGATAGTGTTTAGGCGGGCAATTGGTTTTTTTTCAGTATGTGGTTGGGTTGTTGGTTGGGGTGTGGGTTGGTGTGCGTGTGTTTTTTTTTTTTAAGTGTAGTGGGGTTTTTTTTTTTAAAGGGCCATCGTCCCCCCCCGTTTTAATCCACAATAATCAACGATGAAGAACTGGTGGGGGAAGCAACTAAACGTGATACACGTATGTCCCAGTTAAACCGGAGATTAGCCAACAGTTTCCAAAACTAAAAAGGAAAAAAAGAACCTGCGACCATAAGATGTTGATTACGGGACTTTTTATTATCGATTTTAATTTTTTCTGATTAATTTTTTATCGTTTTATCACAGGAAGACGATCAATATGTAATAATATTCGTAAAATCAGCCTGACCATGTACAGGCAGTAAATTTGAAAAGCACCTGGGAAAACTCGGTACAGCACTGGCGCACAGATGAAATTGAAGGGATTTTTAAATTGAAATCGCCTGAACCCCTACGACTTTTTTACAAATCGACTGGGGCGCCGGGGGGGCTCCAGAGTTGGCGTGAAGACGTCCGGGAAGGAACCCCGGGGGGGAGAAATTTGGGGTGTTTTTTTTTTTTTAAATAAAACATTGCCCACCAAATTGAAAACCTTAACCTCTAAATTAGCTGATTTTAAATAACAGTAGAATACTATTAAATAACAGATGAATCCCAGTTGATAAAACTGGTTCCGCTGTATCGTGGTAGGTGGTTAGCTTACAGTTTCTTTTGTCCCCGTATGAAAAGCTCGTGTACTTCCCACCCTCGTTCCTACCTCCTCCTATCTGTTCATAAACCTTATTTTCTAAATGCAGCCTCTGGAAACCGTGGAACGTATTTTTTTTTTTTATTCTAAAATGAATTCTTCCTTAAATCGGCGTTCGTCGACCCTTAATAATTTTAATAAAACCATTTTTTTTTCGCAGTAAACCGGCCCCTTCATCCTTCCGTCCCCTTGGGGGGGGGATATTTCGGTGAATATAACAGGCCCTCGCGAAAATGAACTAAACCAATTTATTTTTTCTCCCGATTCCGCGAACCCACAAATCGGGCATACAGCCCGTCCCCATGAGTTTTTTTATTTAACAGGTGTAACCCAACAATATATACCTACTGTAAATACCTGTTATACTTTTCCATCAAATATAGTCATTATAAGTCAATAAACACCTTTTGTTGTAGGTGCCGGCGTCTTTGGGCATCCCTTTTGCTTTCGGCGGACGTGTGGGACGAGTCCCCCGTTTGTGAATTTGGTGTTCCCGTCCGATTCCGTTGCCCCAGGGTGCAAGCCCCCCTCCAGTTCCACTGGGCACGTTTCCCCGGGAACAGTCCCGTTTTATTTTTCGGCAAAAGGTGGAAAATTTTATTAAACCGTGTCCAGGGCGGGTAACCAATGGCCCCGGTCGCCCCCCCCCCCACCCCCCCCCCCCCGGGTGAAAACTGACAGGCTGGGTCCGCACGTCCCAGGCCCCCCCCGTTTGGGACCCTACTAGGGTTTTGAAATCCGTGGTGATGTTTTGTGGGTTGATTCGATCACAATCCTCCATTCACGACGAGTGTGGTGAAAGTACACAGCTAGTAACATTTTAAATAATGGCCAAGTCCCCCCCCCCCCCGCCTCACACTAGCGCTTGCCGATGTTCCCCCCCCCCGTCGTCCCACTTTTTCCCCCCCTCCCCATCGCCCCCATGGGCCGGCCCCGTTCGTCTTTTAACGACCTACAAGATTAACGTAAAAAAATAATATGTTTATTATGGCTTATATTTTTCGACTTTCCAATTTTGGAAATTACCAATAATACAAACCTTTTAGTGAAACCCCTTTTATAACGGCCGTTGTACCTAATGATGTTTGTTTTCGTTTTTGTTTTATTGTTTTCCGAACTCGCTTTTTTAGAACATTTTTTTTGTAGTTTACAAAAAAATCAACCTTATTCCCATAGAAATGAGTTTTCGTTGATCCAGTTGGGAAAAGTCCCCCTCGTGAGTTTTTAAAGGGTCCCCGGCTTCGATTGTATTTTAAAACCCGACCTGAATCGGCCCGCCCCTTGAAAATGATAACCCTTTTTTTGCCGAAAAAAAAGGGCAATTTGACACTCGAATTACTTTTTTCCACCAGAACAGATTCCAAAAGAAGCTATACATTGGTTCGTGGGTTGGGAGTGGAACGGCCGTGCGGCAAATTGAAACTTTTTGAGCTTTTTTACTTGCACCGGTTATACAAAACGGGAGCATATGTTCCCTAGAATTCCGATATGAAATGGAGTCCGAATCAAATTGGACTACGTTTTTTTTCCAATTTTTTTTTTCAGAGGGGCGAACAAGGCTTGTTCCCCCTAGTTCCCTCCGCGGGTTGGTGGTTTGGACTTTTTATTTAAAAAAGTTTTTCCCTTAATAAATTTTTTGGAGGGCGAAAAGGTCGGGGATACATGCTTATGTATGGTGTCAGCTGAGGTTGTAATAATAAACATCATGAAAGAAAAGATTAACAGTGGGAGCCTTGTTTCGGGCCCGCGGTGCAGGCGTTAAATTTTTGGTAAAATCATTGAAGGGGGAAATGCAATCACGCGGATCGCCGGCCGGCGGACGAACGTTTTTAAGACCTCGCAAAGCGATAACGGCACCGAGAAATTATTTGGTTATTGTATGGAAGTTACCACTTTTAACCCCCTTTATTAGTGGAAGCCCTTGGCCCTGAGGGACCTGGGTTTGGGACCCTGGGACCAGCCCGTTAGTTCCCCGGAGTGTCCCCTCGGCGAGGGTTTTTTTTTTTGCCCGGTGGCGCGAATTACCATAAAATCACCAGGTATAGCCCGAAATCCGGTTTTGCTTTTCGGTTCGCTTACCCATCGGGCCCCCCCTCCCCGCCGAGCGGCCTCCGGTCGCTTGTTCATTTTACGGTGTAATTCTTAATAACTTTGTTTTTTTACGATTTCCCTCCTTTTAAGCGGACCAATATTTGAGTATGGCCTTTCCGATATAATCATTAACATAAAATGATGGGAATTTGCTTGAAGTTTGGAAGAGGGAATCATAATAGCCCTCGAAAATATTAGTTAATGTGTGGTGGTTTGTACCAGTGGGATCCCAAACACTACCTAGCTAAGAAAAGAACCTTGAAAGTGTATATAGAAACAATATAAGAAAACCCCTGGTGGTGGGGGATCACAAAAACGAATGATTGGCCTTTAATTTTTTGTTTCAATTGGTTAAAAATGTTCCCGGCCCTTGCAAACAACGAATATTAAAATAGCCTATTACTTTTTTATATTTCCCATTTAACGGAACCCCTAAGGCCCCAATTGGGGACGTTCCCCGCTGACTTCAGGCCGACAGAACCGGGACTTCCATTGTCCACCTTTGGAAAAAGGCGTTTTTTTCAATTCTTTTTTTATTATTAAAAATTATAAACCAATGATAGCTTTTATTACAGTTGTTGTTTAAGTTTACCCTATACTTACTGGATTACTGTTTTAAAAATAACTTGTATATTAGAATATATATAACCTAAAATATTTTATATTAAGTTTTTTTTTTGGGGGCTCTCTTTTCTAGCAATACATCAAGACATGATTACATTGGCGAGTATCAGTACACCGTCCAAAGAGCGAGATTAGTTCGATATTCCTTGTTAGATTCCTCGCCCCTGCACCTGTCCGTTCTCCTGATTAACCTCCCATCCCGTTTTTAAATCTGGTTTCCCTGTGTACCGGACCCACCACAATTAAAACCTAAAAGCCCTAAATAGCGTAAAAGTACTTTTAAAATATATGGCTTTTTTCCCTATATAACAGGGGGGGCCTGACCCCGCACCGGAAATGAAAAAAAACAGTTTTTTTTTGATTTATCCATTATGTTTTTTTTGAATTATTAAGCAATACTTAATCATATCAACGTCCACGTTTAGCAAAGCAATCCCAATTCATGTTTTGGTTTATCAAAAGGTCCCACATTTTAATAAATGTTTTTAAAATCCAATGGTCCCTATAATTTTACCAAATATATAGAGGTATCGGGAAGTGTGTGTGTCGCCGAGTCGCGTAAAACTCCCGCGTATGGTTTTTTAAGACAAAAAAATTGGCGGCCCGGCGACTTTTTTTGGTACACTGAACCACTCAAAACTAAAGACTACACTAACACGGGATTACCAGAACTAGTTTTAGCCAACCAACGACCTGGCCGATTAAATATAATAGATTTTTAACAAAGTAATCAAAAAAAAACGAAAACATTTGAAACATGAACTTGTAGGCGAAGCCTCATTTCCATTTATTTTTTTCCCCCAATTAACCTAATTAAAAAAATTTTTAAAACGTAAACCAGCACCTTTACGGGCCCCCCTATCTGCCTCCGGACCCCTACACTACCACACGTAAACTAACATATGCTGTAACTTGATGACGTTTGGGTCCCTTGCTTTTTAATACATTGTTAATTGAGCCCCCCCCCTCCTTTGATTTTTATTTGTTTTTTTTATTAAATGTTGTTTTAACTTCACTGTTAAATAATGTTTTTTTACATTGGGAGATAATTTTTTTATACTGCCGGACGAATTTTTTATCAACGCACACCCAATAGTTTTTTTTTTGTTTTTTTTTTTTGTTTTTTATTACCTAGGAAGTTCTTTTTCGGAAACTCCACGGAACGGGAGGCAATATAACGTTTTTTAGGGGAACATGGTTTGGACGACAGCGAAAATAGTTACGTGGTGAAGTTTAAGGAAGACGCCTGGTGGAGATAGGCAGCTGGTCGAAGGTAATAAATTGAAACAAAAAACTTTTTTTTTAAGATAACTAATTTGGAGGACGTAACTAATAGGCGCTGATTATAAAAAACAACATTAACCATTAAATTAATCCAGTTTTTGATGCTGATGCTTCAAACCTAAGCGAATAAGTAAAAATAATTAAACGTTTTTTTCCTTATCGACTTTAACTGGAGTTTGTTTGTAACTCCCCTCACATTAACCGACTTTTTTTCACGTTTTTTACTGAGAGCAGTTTTAAAATTTTGCTTCGCCTGAATTCAAGAGCTTAACTTTGGTATAGACAAAGGACCCGATTCAATGTGAACCTGAAACTTCCCCCTGTAACTTACTTTAGAAATCAGTATCGATTAACTGAAAAACTAACACCTGGAAACGAGAGATAATATACTTATTTGTTTTTTACAAGATACTTTTTTTTTTTTTATTTGTAAATATGATCCCAATTAATTTTTTTAAATACTAAACAAAATTTTTGTGGAAAATGAAATTTAAGTTTTTTTTCTGTTTTTTTTTGCATGACAAACATTTTTCCAAACGGTCCCCCCCCATGTAAGTTTTTTTTTTTTCATTATCGGGCCCGTTGGTAAAAAAAAAATGGAATCCAGCCCCCTCGAAAAAAAGTGCGAAGTTGGCCCGACAGGGGCACCCGGGGGGGCCACCGGAAACAACTTTTTTTTTTTTCGCAACACTTTTACCTTTGGTTATTCTTGCTAAACTTTTATAATTTTAAATCCACTTTTGGTAGCAAAAATAAAACTCCAGATAAATTTCTTAGATCATCCCGATATTTATCAATAATTTTTTTTTTATCTTTAAACCCACGATTTCTTTTAGCGTCCCCACGAAAATCAAAACTTTTAACTTTAACTTTTTTTACGGACAAAACAAAACATTCTTTCACAGAAAATTTTTCCCTGGCGGAACATGTGGAAAAATGAAAAATAAAAAATTGAATATATCCGAAGCTGATGCAAACGCTCGTAGACTCCCAGTACGCTGGTAACTACAATAATACCTACCCCTCCCCCCTCATTTTGGTTTTTTACGCGGCTGTAATACGTTTTTTTTTTCCCCACTCAACAAACTTTGAACGTCCCACACTGTTTTAACCTAAGTGGCAAAGCAAACTTATTTTCCATAAAACAAAGAACTAAAACGACCCACCACCATTGTTAGTGCAGGGGAGTAAAGGTTCCAAAAACAATTGCTTAATTTGGAAAAAATTACAAAAACCGATAATTCAGTACACCCGCCCTTAATGGAAATGTTGGTTTTTTGAAGCCTTTTTTTTTTTGGAAGCACTATAATTTTTTAACATTATGTTGCATATTCAAACGAATGTTTAAATAAGTTTTTTTTTTTTTTTATTAATATTCATCATAAAAAAAGTAATTTTGAAGAACATAATTTTATTATAAGAAATTTCTATATTTGAAAATGAACCTTTTTTTTTCTAACGAAGCATAACCCGAGCAAGTTTGTGTTTCCCTTAATTTTTGGCTTTATTTTTAACAATTTTATGATAGAATCTAGCGATACCAATACGAAAACATGGCTTTTGTTTTTTCTCCGGCCTTTTTTTGTACTACTTCACTTTCCACATAAATGAAAAAATCACATACAAATACAACAGTGAATAAAATAACATGGGAGTCTTTGTTTTTTTGAGAAACACTCCGCGTGAGCCCGGTTTTTGGACCTTATACTTAAACTTTTTAAACAATTTTTATTAAATAGGTTTTTTTACAAGGGAACTTTAATGATAACAAAAAACTACACCTAAAACATTCATTAAAGTTTAATTATCTGCTAAAATTACACTTTTAAATGAAGGCCTAAATTTACACAATTAAAATGAGTCTAAAATAACTAAAATACATGTAGCATAAGATTAATTATGAAAAGATTGAGCATAATTTTTAACATAACGTGTTTTTTTTGTTTACTGTTTTTTTTCAAGAAACTAACAGCTGGTCCCCTATAGCGTGAACCCTTGAACCCGTTTACTATAGAATGAATCTACTAATAAAAAATAGGCAAAAATTATTGACTTCAACATTTTAAGGATTCACTTAATTTGAACCCTTAAGGGGCACGGTGCCTTTGGTTTTAAATGTATTTTTTTTGAAAACCTTGGCAAACGTTCCCCAACAACCTATATTGTAAGGCCGGGTACGACAAGGAACAACCAAAAGTAAGCCATCGGCCCGGCTCTGCGGAACTCGGTAGGACAGGCCGGAGACGTAACAACGTTCCGTCCCTATACCCGGTGAGAAAAAACGAGGGCGGAACCTGGCGGGACGGAAACACCCCGCCGCCCTTCCCCCCGCCGGGAGGGGTCCCCATCCCACACCTCCCCCCCGCCCTCCCCCTCCCGCCCCCCCCCCTTTCCCCTGTGAATAACGTGCCCCGTGTTTCCCGAAGCCCGGCCCATGCGCCCCATGTCGTCCAATCCGAACATGGCACAGAGAGAGTACGGGTGCGGGCCGGTGTGGACGGTGAGCCGAGGGTGAGACAAACTAAGTCCACCGAGGTCCCCACGAGAAAACGCGATCCCGAGGGCTGAATGCGGTGCCGTTTTGTTCCCCCCAGGAACCCCCTCTTCCCGTGTTCCAATGATTTCTCCCCCTTCGACCAGTGGGGCGCGGGTTTCGCCAAGTAAACAAAGTGGGTCGAGCTTGGTGGATTATTTTTTTATAGTTTTTGTATAAGTTTCGGCGCGCGGTAGCGGAACTCCATCTTTTTTCGGGATGCGTCGGCAAGTGTAAACCATAAAATTAAGTAGAAATTTTTTGGGAAAGGACATGGTTCGATACTGACTGCCGGTTCCCCCCACGAGCCCAGTTTTTTTTTTGTTCGATTCGGATTTCAGTGAGTGAGAACAGGTGAGCTGGTCGCCTTTTTTTTAATAAAGGAGTGCCTATGGGGGAGGGAGCGGCCGGGATGGCTCGGCGACTTTCTTACCGCCCCTCGAGTTGTTTCTGAAGCGTGGCGACCCAGCCCGGCCTGGGGGGGGGTTGCTTAGGGGCGGGCTATGCGGCGCGCGCCCCCTCCGCCCCCCGCCGGAGACCAGCTTCGGCCCCCTAGCGACAGGGACATAAGAAACCCTCGCCCCGGCCACCCCCCCTTGCCCCCCCCCCATAAATGTTCCCCCTTCCAATGTGTTCAACTGTTATTCTTTATTTAGGTCCCCCCTAAAGCTTTCCTCCGTTTTTTCTAACCATATGTAATCGGGCCTTTGTTTGATCGTATATCCTGTACGGGTGGTGGGGTTTTTTTTGTTCCGTTAAGCCGTTTTTTGGAAGGCGGGGCTCGACCATGGCCGGGAGGGCCCAGCGGCCGCCTGCCGTCCCGACGGTCAAGGGCGGGGCGTTGGCCCTTATCGGGCCCCCTTCGAAGGAGAGCTGCGGGCGGGCCTAAGGGAGTCCATCCGACCTCGCCACGGGCCCCCGAGTGTGCTGGTGCCCGATCGCAGGATTTAACTGGACGGGCGGCCGGCCGCGGCAGGCCGCTGGTTGCCTTGTGCCGAAGGGCGAGCCCGTTGGCGGGGGCGCCGATGGGGCGGCCCGCCCGTGGGCTCGTGGAACGTGGGCCGGCCCGGCCCGCCCCCCCCTAAGCCCCTGCCTTCAAGATAGGACGCCCCCACACGGTCCCCCCCCCCCCCCCCACTCAACGCATCGAGAATAGCGACCCCTGGCAAACCCTCCGAAACCGGGACGGGCCAAACTCACTGGAACCACCCTGCTGCCGCAATTTTCTTTTAAAAGTGAAGTCATTGCCCGGTGTTTACTGTTTTAGGAATTGATCCTTTATTGAGAGTAATTCCCCTTCGAGTGGGTGGCCGTCGGTTGTGGTCCCCCACCCCACCCTAACAAGTGACCTCTTCTTCCAGGCAGGAACCTCACGAGTGAAGGAGGCAACAAACATCATCAGCCCCCCAGTTCCGTCGATAGCACGAATGAAGAAAAGCTGTTTCCGAGTCAGGCGGGAATTTGAGGTGGGTGGTCCGGGGTCCGGATATCAAAATGTTTTCTGATGTATATGAATAAATATTTTATTCTAAGAGAAAAGGGCACAGCGTTGGAAAATTATGTTCAATGTAAAAACAAGTAAAAGTTGGTAAAGACCCGCGGCGCAGCGCTAGATGGTGGGCCGCCCTCCTTGAAATCTACATGGTTTTTGTTGTTTTTTTTTTTTTTCTTCCCAAGTCAAGTATTTTTTATTTATACGAGCGAACCCGTCCGCGCGGGGCCGGCTGGTGTACCTTGGTTGGGGGTAGCGAACCTCTGTTGGGTGAGTGACCACCTTTGGTTAAAACGCTGTAACTTTCCTCTCGGTACTGTTAAAAACTCCATCAAACGCGGTTTTGTTAAAACGATTTTAGTTTTGTGATTAACCTTAAACCTATTTGGGGTATGTATTTAGATAATTTATAAAGTAAAATTCATGCTAAGAAGATGGATATTATACCTTTTTTTTACGAAGGCCGCGTCCCCCCGAAACGGGACTGATAAGATATACTGGCCAAAAAGATCTCAGGTTTTTTATATTATATAGTATTATGTATAGTTGTTTTTGTTTAAAACGAGTGATTAGTTTATTTTTTTTAAGTTAATAATAAACATAGTTGTAACTTTTTTTTTTTTAAGAATTGTTTTTTTTGGTATCCGCGCGTAATGCGTTTTTTTTGTCCCATTTCCGCCCCCATGTTTTTTTTGGTCCGATTAACTTTTTAACTTTTTCGGCCTACTTTCCTTGGTATCGGTAACACTAAATAGACCGTAGTCTTTCCCCCCTGTCCTGTCCCGTCCCCTGTTTTTTTTCTAGTCCTGGTTTCCCTTGGTTTGTGTTTTGGTTGGGTACCCCCCCCTTCAAACCCAATTTTTTTTTTAAATGATCCTAAAATTTCCCCCGTAGGGTCCCCAAGTGGTTTTTTTTTTTTTGAACTGCGACCATTATCAATAGCAACTAGAACCTTTCCCACTCCCCATATATATTATAAATGGTAAAAATATGTAAAAAGTAAAGGATTGGTCAAGAGTGACTAACATATGTTTTTTTTTTTATTGAAATTTTTGGTCCCCCGCAGCTTGGTGAAAATTCGAAAAAGACAATTATTGGGTTAGTCTCGGTGTAGGAAGAAAAAGAAATGAGTGGAAAATGTAGAAAAATTTATAAAGCAATCACATAGTTTTTTTTTTTTTTCCAAAAAACTCCTAAGCAATGTTTTTTTTTTTTGTTTTTTTTAATTTTACCCCCCTGAACGGCCCCGACCCTATCTGTGCTCTCGTAAAAAATTATTTAGGTAACAAATACATTAAAAAACAATCGAAATTAGACTCTAGATAAAGTCTTACTTGGAAAGAAGTTATGCCAGAAGCCTTAAGGAGCTTTTTCGAAGTTTTACAAAATTTTCATATATAAGTAAATTTAAAACAGGCAGTTAGGGAAACTATTAAATTTGAAACTAAAGATGTTATGGAATTTTTATTTTTTTCTATAAACTTAAACAATGGTTTTTTATAATTTTTTTTTCGAACCTAAAAAATTTTTGAAGTTTTTCTCTGTTTTTTTAGACGTCCCTTTTTTTGCTTTGGTCCCCACCCTATGCAACATATAAGAAAGTATATTGAAGATACAATATGTCCCTAAGTAGAAACGCACAGTTGAACCATTTTTATTCTGTTTCAGAGATTAATATATTACCGTAACAAAGCTCTTTATAAATAATATTACATTTTTATTATGAAAAACACAGTGAGAAACTTAACGCCCTTAAAAAAAACAGTTTGTCCCACACGAAAAAAATGTGCCGGGTTTTAAAAAATGGGCTAAGCGTTTATTTTTAACTTTACCCTAACGGCGCAGCGATCGTTAGACGAGAGTACTGACTAGACCATCGATTTTATCCGAGATTTTACTTCACCGGGGTTGGGGGTGTCCCCCCCCGTAACGTTAACGAGCGTTAACCCCTTCTTGCGGCGGTTAAAAAAATCCCCTACGAATAAAACACCCGTAAACGGATGTTTTACGGGACCAAACTGGGACCGCGCTTTTTTCACGACCAAAGAAAAGATTGTTTGTTTTGGTAAACAGGAACAGCGCCCTTTGGGGCGATAGTTTAATACTACTCGGCTTATTTGAATTGATATCTCTTTTTATTATAATGTGGGGTGGTATTTTGAAACTGGATATTCGCGCCGGTTACAAAAACTTGCGTATAAAAACTATTAGCTAAATCTTTTTTTCAATCCCTGTTAAGGTATGTCATCACCAGTTTTTTTTTTCCTATATTTTTTTTAAAAAATACTTCGTTTTTTTTGTTTTGTTGTAATCCTCATCGTTAACTTCCAAACAAGCGCTTGTTTTTTTTATGCTATTCCCCCAACCTAAGGCCGCCATCTGTTTTACGCCCGAGTCCGGGGTCCCACAACACTGGGGCGTGACGTCCCACATCCCCCCTACAACCAATCAACACTTTATAAAGTTAACATATTTAACTGAAATTGTACATTCTACCACTCCAAAGATTATAATTTTAATGTAACAGTTTATGTTTAATTTATAAATGACGTTTTGGGGGTGTTTTTTGTTTCTTCCTTGTTGGGCCCCCTCGCACAAGTCCTCTTAACAGTTCCCCCCCCCGTCATACATGTCACCCTTTTCAATCTCCTTCGTCCCCCCCCCCCGTCTCATGAGTTGGGCCGCTAAACCTGTCCCTGGGCGTCCCCCCCCCCCTCCAAAATCCTTTTCGCGAGGCGAAACTCCCCCTGTTTTTTTATTGGTGTTTTTTTGTTTAAATTTCCCCTAAATAGTTTTATGACATGGCGCGGCAAATTTTCACAGATCTTTCATTTGGTTTTAGATTTACTGTTTTTTTTTTATAACAGAATGAAAGTCGGTTAAAAAATCTTTTAATAAATCCCCCTCTATGATTTTTTTGCAAATTCCCATCTGCCATTTTTTTTCCGTGATATTTTTTCCCTATTAGCCTACGTGGTACCGTTGAGGTCGTACGCCAAATGTCGCTCGTAAATATTTATAACGAATTTTCGAGCGTTTGTTGTAATCCGTGCGTCGAGGTCTCACGTAGGTGAATTTCATGATTAGTTAATCCATCCCTGGATTCGTTTTTTTTTGGGGGTAAAACAACGTAATTAACGCCCGGCTTTGTAAATAGGCAAACACAACACAGGACACCATGCAACCAGGCCCCGCCCCCCTGGTGGTCGTATGTATGTAAAATTAGGGCCGGTGGTCGCCCCGAACTGGTGGGCCTATCTTATTTTTGGGAAGTATAAAATACTCGCTAGTTTTTTTTTTTTTTCCCCAAATTTTTCAGATTCAAAAAAAAAAAGAATTCCGCAGATTTTTTTTATTGCAGTTTAATATTTAGATGTACATAGCACCTTCCCCCTTTTCCCCCCCCCTATTTGTAACACACAGTTTTAGTCCGTAACATTTTTTTGTTTACACTTCAATTAAAAACCCATCCCGTCACCAACTGTTGTTTTACTTTTTTTTACTACGCTCAAAGTATTTTATAAAGACCCTCTTCCTCGCCTCCGCACGCCCTTTGCCCTTTTCCACGGTTTTAACAATTTATCTTCAATTAAAGACCAATCCTTTAAGTTCTATTTTTTGCCGTGGGGCAATTGGGTCCCAAAATCCTAATCCTTTTTTATAAAGGGGGCTTTTCCTACCCACGTTGATCTTCATACGGAGAGTGGAATTTCCCCTTATCCCGGTTGCCCGGTCTCGCTGTTGGTTATCCGTCCAATGGCCCGTTTTGGTTCCCCTGTTGGGTTTGAAGTTTTTTTTTTTTTTTTTTTTTTCCTTCCGTGCCCAAATCCACTCCCCCCAGCCGAAGCAACATTCAAAATGAACATCGCTTTTCCCCATCTTGTAAACATGTATAAAGTAGACACCGGTACTTGTTTTAAGGTAATCCAGTAAAAAATGGTTTATTATAGAATGGCCCGGTAAAAAAACTGTACGGTGGACTCCCTCTCCTCCTCTCCCCGCCAGTTTTAGTTTTTTTTTTTTCTAACCTGGAGATTCTCTTTTTTTTTAAATCGTCCTCCTGCTAATCTGTCCCCCGACCACCTAAAAACCACGTTTTTTTGTTTTTTGTAAACTGGCTTTCACGTTGGTTTGTTTTATTAACTGACGTGTACGCCACACACACAGCCAGTAAAACCGTTAAAGCCCACGCTCGCCCCCCTTTTGACAGCCAATTTACGACCCCAAATCCAAAATCGCCCTGGAGCACAACCATTTTAATACACAATCAATGGGTCAGGACTAAAGTTTAAAAACATTGACATATCAATTAACATGTAAAACCATATAGCGAGGGTAGGCTGGGTTTGAATTACTAATCGATATTGTATATAAGGAGCATAAACCTCGGTAGCAATGATTTCTGGCAGTCGAAATTATGTAAAAAAAATAGTAACTTTAAATTTTGATTTGAATCTAATGTTTTCCGTATAAATAATAATAGTGGGTTGTTTTTGACACACGTTTTTTTTTTTCCAAGTGGGTTTGTTTTTTTTTTCCAAGGGTTGGGTGGAAACGCGGTGGGCGGGCCCGGCCCCGTGCCTGATTATCAAC